CAGCGTCCAGGCCCCTGTACGGTGGTTCCACCTCGGCCAAGGCATCAGTCTGCCACCTTCCACGGGGCCTGGCTGCTGCTGGGCGTTAGCCTTTTGCCTCCAATGCACTGTGCCTGCTGCGCCTCTCCCACGCACCCGGCCAGGCTCTCTCCCAATGCTGTGCTCTCGTGCACCCCGCCCCTGGAGGCACAGCCCCAGTCCCCTTCCCCTTAGATGGGCTGGGCCAGGCCATTTACCTGGCAGCCACAGGGCACTTGGTCCGCACGGGTACCTCTCGCTGCACCGTGGCTGCTCGCCGGGCTGTTTTACAGACTAAGGCTGGGTGGACACTGGGCAGCTCGGCTGCAGTACGGCAGCGACTGGCAACCTCCTTCTGTTGGTGCCTGCTCCGCAGCCTTGTCCCACCGACGCCAGAGCCGTCTGTGGAGAGGCCGGGAGCCCACGCGGCACAGGTTGGGCGGTGCAGTGTCTGCCTGCACACTGATCCATACAGGGGCCTGCAGTGGAAGCTCAGCTGTGCCCCGCTCCTTGTAGTCTGGGCTGCAGGCCATCTCCGTGCCTGTGACGGACCGGGCCGCGTCTGGGCACAGCTGAGGGCGTCCGCTCAGGGCGAATTGCTCAAATCCAGGGCTCCTTACAGCCCCCAGACTGGTGACCTCTCCAAACAGGCCACAAACCAGTCACAGAGTGCTTCAGCTGCCTGCCTGAAGCCTCACGAGCAAAACCCCTCCAACACCCCAGCAATATCTGTGCCCCAGATGGCCCCGGGCCTCATACACAGGTGGGGGGTCCTAGCACCCAATCCCACCTACCCTGAACAAGTTCTGTCCGGTCCCAAGAAACCAGCCACAGATCCCTGGTCAATTTACCCTTTGGACTGTACCCACAAATCACGCTGGGCCAATCCTTTAGCATCTAACATCTAAAGGTTTATTATTACAATAAAGGTTTATTATTGCATGAGAGTGAGGTTGTTAAAGGATAGTACGTTACATGCACCGAATCTCCCAGTTCTCAATGCAGGCTCTAGCAGAGATGTCACAGCTGCTGGTTTAAAAGTCCTTGTTGCACATCCTATAATCAGGATGGGTTCACAGGATGGGATCCCTGCACTGCTGCCTCTGGGATGAAGTGCTGAGCTGAGAACCAAGATGGAGACCACCACATGGCCTCTTTATTCCTCCTTCCTGGTCTCTTGGCTATAGCAGGTCACCTGGTCCACGGCTCATTTCTGTGTCCCCTGCTGGTAGCCCTTAGGTATGAGTCACCCTCATTCTTCAGGTGTGTCCTTGGCCCATTGAGAGCCATTGTCCCACATGGCCTTGCTGATTAGCATGTCCATAGGCCGGGCCCTGCCCATTGCTCAACCACATTCAGAGAAATATTCAGTCTCCACACAGATTAAAGATTCCTACCTCCACACACACACAATCACACAAATAGCGCACACAGGATCAGCAGACAAGCCTCTATTCAACACCCCACATGGCCCCCCTTTTATACCATTTTCTGGGGCCAACACCCCCACCTGTGGGTGCAGCAGTGATCTGGCTGCTCCCCTCAAATTTGGTAACGTGACAGTGCCCCTCCGAGGTGGGTAGATGTGCACCCTGACCCCAAACTGACTGAGCAGCTGGAAGCTGCTGGCAACAGGTCGATGTAAGCTCTTAGTGCAGACGTGCCCTGCCTGTCCCTGAGCCTTGCACCCTCGCCACACTGGAATCCACAAGGGCCCGCTGCTCAGAGGCACAGGTACCTCTCGCAGCACTGCTGGCTGAATGCCAGTGCCCTCCACGCCCCCGTGCCGCGGGCTACCGTGCTTAATGGGAAGAGTCGTGTGGGAGCGGCGTTGAACCCAGTAGCCTGGATGTGGGCGCGGGTGCAGCTCAGCAGACCCTGTTGCAGCACAGAAACGTTCTGGCTGCAGGGCATGCGGATGCACCCGCGTCTGGCTCCAGGTGGGGCCGTGCGTCTTGAAGAGCCTCCAGTTCCTGCTCACCTCTGAAGGCAGCGCAGAAAAGGGTGTTGACCCTCCACGAGGGGCAGGACCCTACAGTGACACCCCTGTGGAATGGGCGGGTTTTAAAATCCTCTGGAGGGGCCGTGAGCATAGTGCTTCCGAGTGCTTCTCAGAACTGGGCCGGTGGCTTTTCCCTGGGCTGAGGGTTGAGCTCAGCAGTCGCTTCTCCTGCTCCTGACATGGCACCCGGAGATCCTGCTCGGGGCAGTTCTGCTGTCCTGGTGATAGAGATGTAGCCGTGTTAGTCTGGTGTAGCTGAAACAAAATACAGGACTATGTAGCACTTTAAAGACTAACAAGATGGTTTATTAGATGATGAGCTTTCGTGGGCCAGACCCACTTCCTCAGATCAAATAGTGGAAGAAAATAGTCACAACCATATATACCAAAGGATACAATTAAAAAAAAGGAACACATATGAAAAGGACAAATCAAATTTCACAGGGTATATGGGATTGCAGAGCAAAGTAGCTCAGGGAGGCAAATGGGGGTAAAGGGGCGGAGCATATGGAATTGGCAAGGAAGCTCAGGGTGGTGGGGGGTATATGGGATTAAGGGGCAGGGTCTATAGAATTAGGGCGAGGCAAGGCAGCTCAGGGAGGTATACTATGGGGCAGAGGGCAGGGCATATGGGATTAAGGGGCGGGGTCTATGGAATTAGGGCGGGGCAAAGAGGCTCCGGGAGGTATTACATGGGATAGGGGCGGGGCTTTGGGGTTAAGGGGCGGGGCAAGGCGGCTCCGGGTGGTATGACATG